GGGGGGGGGGGGGGGGGGGGGGGGTGCCGTTTTGTGTGCTGTCATGTGGAACGAAGTAATTTGTGCCAAGTTGTTGTTGCCGACGCACAAAAGGTTGGCTCAAGGCTTGCTCGAACGCGCTTCACGTGCCCGAACTTCTTACTGGAAACAGTCGTACGTTCTAGTGGGGTGGCGGGGGTGTATCAAGTACCTTGCACATAGGACACTGGTTGGTCGTCACGCCCCACTTGACGATGCACGTGAAGTGGAAGGCGTGGACGCACTTGTCGAGAGACGCTTGGTCCTCGTCCCCGGTCACGGGGCACATGCAGATGGAGCAGTCCTCCAGCTCCCCCCCATCGTCCTGGATACTGCCGCCTTTGCGATTGCTGTCGTTATTGGTGCTGGCGGCGTCACCGGTAAGGGAGCCCTCTTTGAGAGGCACCACGTGCTCCTCGGAATGGACCGCTCCTTCGGCCGCCGCCGCCGCCGCCGCCGCCGCCGCCGTCGCCGCCGCCTTTTCGTCAGGGCCGACCCTCTCCACGCCGTCGTGGGAGGCAGCACGGCCTACGAGGTTATCTTGCCCCGCGGTAGCCGCATCTCGATTGGGTGACTTAGTTCCTGTTGTCGCCGATGAAGGATTAACACCGCCGCTACCATCAACGTTGTTCGCGCCGCCATCACCTTGCCCACCACCGTCTGGCAACGCTTCCGCCGCCTCCGGCGGGGAAACCGTGGGGCCCCTCCCCCCCGGTGATCCACCTACTGTGCCCCCTGCCACCACCACATCCCTGCTACCAGAATAATCTGTCGCTGGCGATGATTGTCGTTCTTCCCGCCGTCCCTCTCGGCATGCCTCGTCCGGTGCAGCCGGTCCAGAAGCACTGCCGCTGTCACCGGCAGTGGCGGGACCCTTCGGACTTGCCGCCGGGGCAGCGCTCGCCGCGGAAGCCCCGCCACAACCACCATCAGGCCCACAGCCGCCAGGCAAGCGAGACGGCGATGACGAGGCCCTAAGGCGCGGGCTTGACCCCCCCCCCCTCCCTTGCGAAGAAGAGGACGGTGGCGGCGAAGGGGAACAGGAAGACAAGGAAGAAGAGGAGGGGGAGGAGGAGGAGGAGGAGGAGGAGGAGGAAGTACGACCTCCCATGGGAGGCGAAGACAAGGAAGAAGCAGATGACGAAGAACGCCCACCCCCACCGCCGCTGCCGTCACCGCCACCACCGGCCGACCCCGTCGAATCCCCCGCCCGACCAAGCATCGCAGCCTCCGCCTCCGTTACGGGGTCCCGCACCCGCAGGCTCCGGAAATGAGCCTCGCCGTGGAGCGACAGCCACAGGGTGCGCCCCTGCAGCTGCAAGTCACGGGCGCGGGCGTCCAGGGAGGAAACCGCCCGCGGGCGGAGCGTGTCCGCCACGAACACGCTCCGGCTGGGGCGCCGTGGTTCTTCTGCGACCGCCGCTGGGGGGTTAGTGGCGGCCGCGGCGTCGTTGCTAGTAGCGCTGGTCACCGGTCGCGGGTACCAACCATCGTCCCTGGTCCATTTTACGACGTTGATGTTCACCTGAAGGGTCGCACGGTGAGGAGACCGGGGGGGGGAGGGAGGGAGGGCCATCTGAGGCCAGGCGATTGCTCATCACAGCAGGGTGGAAACAGAAAATGCCAGGAATATAAAAAAATCACGAGGTGGGGACGCGGTGGAAATGGAATACATAGACCGCAGTTTCACATGTGTGCCCGCACACACTTTTCGTCTTGTCGCCATGCATGCCACAGTCTAAAGAGCGCGGTATGATGGCACAGGATTTGTGGCAACAGACTACCGCGCCACTAGCAATCACGTCCATTTATCGACGTCAATTTTCCTGCGCCGCACCGCACCGCACCGCACCGCACCGCACCGCACCGCACCGCACCGCACGGTGCACACTCACGTACCCACAAACACAGTTCCCCTAGCTCTTTTCTGAACCCTGGTCTCGCCAAACTACAACATCTGACCCTACCCATCCCACTGGCTGACCTTAAGGGCGTCGCAGAGCGCTTGTAGAGTGATGTGATCCCCGTCGCAGCGGGTGCTGGTCATTCGTCGGGCGTATTCTTCCATGTCCACACCACCGCCGCCGCGCTGAACATCATGACACCACACGACAGACGCCGGTCGTTACTCTTCGCGAAACCGAAGGTGCACCAAAAAAAAATTCTTGTGGGTATCGTGGAAAAAAGCGAGAACGCGCGCGCGCGCCTTGCAAGACAACAAACGATGGTGATAGCAGCAGTTCACACGGCCATGACGCAGGCATATCGCCGGTCCGCGACGGCAGCCAACAGCCTGCTCTGCAACCGGTTTTTTGGGGGTCACGTCCAGGCAAGAAGCCGCCAACGCGCCCACGACCAAAGCTGACCGGATTCAGCGTTACAATAACGTTGACCAATAGAAAATGTTCGTCGAGAGTTCTCCGGCGGAAAACGGTAGAATGGTTAGCGTGAAGAATCGAAGCGCGTGTGCCATGGCGGGAAAGCCGTGAGGCGATACCCATATGTACGACGTTGGGAGAGAGAGAGCTGCTGCAAGGCCTTGGCACAAATCACTCAAAGGTCTGGCTCGGAGACCACCGACACCATCAGGAACACCGCCAGTTTCCCATGAAAACAAGAAATATCCCGTCGGCACCGCCGAACGATGGGATGTGCGCGGATCGAAGCTGTACGGCGGCACCCTCGTCGTCACCACCACCCCTATAACATCATCATCATCGCTCTGCGAGATAAACATAGGACGAAACTCTATCACCTGCCGCTGTCGCCGGGTGACCGGTGCCGCATGCAGCATGAAGTCCTGGAAGGCGTTCTGGTTGTGGGAGACGCAGTGCAGGGCCAGCAACCTGCGGCGTGGAAGGGAGATTACGAGGAGACGCGCGGCTTTGAGGAGAGGAGAGCCTGGGGGAACAAAACACACCGATGGCTACTTTACTCCCACGTGGCTACGGCAAATCGCGCTGGTTAAACACACAAACACACGCACACAACAAGCGCGAGAGTAACTGCTAAGAAGCCAGCCACGGAGCCGTGAGCACGCCAACCTGACTTCTCACTCACACGCCTCTTATCGCCACAGCGATGAAGCAACCCACGGGAACTTTCATTGTACGTACGATTGCCATGGTTTCCCCACACCATGTGTACGTACGTGGCGCATCGAAACCCCTTCGGATAATCAGACTACACCACGACGGAAGACACTACGAGAACAAGCCTGCCACACACGACAAGGCAACAAAAAAACACAAGCCACAAAAGGACATCCCGGAAGGGTCATGGGTCTGGGACGTTGGAAAACTAACGAGTGAGCAACCAACGGGCCTGAGGTAGACGTCCGGCCGGAAGCTCTCCGTCACAGGTCGCGAGCGGAACAGCTGGTCGGCCACCGCGCTGAACTGGCAAGCACCGGACCTAGCAGCAACAGCGACACACACAGATCGATGGAAGAAGACGTGCTACTGCTGTTCGGGGATTGTTCTTGGAGGCTGTGATCCCCCCAAAGCTCTTGGGGCCGTAAGCATTGCTGCATTGTAGCATGTCACGCATCCTTCTGACTAAACAGGACGGGGACGCATCTTGACACACGACTCAAAGCTAGTTCAATAGCTGCTTAGTTAGCTCCACGGCGGCTGTCCTACAGAGGGTAGTAGACCGGAATCACCACGAGGCTCCTCCTGTAGTCTGAGGCACTCACTGTTTAGCATCGTGGCACTGCAAAGCGGACCAGGAAACAGAAAACGCAGCAACAAGCGATGTTTGTTTTATTGAAATAACAACGCGACGACACCGTGATGCAGTGTGTGCTTAACATAGACAACCAGAACACCCCCACTCTCCCACCTTGCTACGTGGTTGAGTGTCTCCCGCTCCACCAGCCCGCTGCTGCGCAGAAAACTGCTCCAGCTCGTCGGGTCTCCATGGTTTAAGCACGCGTCGATGCGGAGCCCGATCACTTGATCCTCGTCGGAGTGCTGCACGTACAGTACATAACATACGGCAACACCGTCAAGCAGCCGTAGGTCGTGATCCATGTATCATTTTGTGTTGGTAGCGAAGCCGGGAATGGTCGGCCCATTCAGAATTGGCTGTTGCGAACGGGGACAGTCATACTATGTAGACATCGTTCCCGCCCCGCAAACGCATTGTTCCTACGTTCGTGATCATGCGATAACCTTTCCACACCCCCCTACACAACACCACACCATACCAACCAGCCCGACCTCAGAGTACGCACGCGATGATGTACATGGCAACAGCAAACGATTAGCCGTACCCTGCGAGATTTTCGCTGGTGAAGATCGAGCATTCTACGACCGCGAATTAGCGGGTAAACGTGGGCAACAACTCCTTTCGTATGCCACACCGGTTGCAAGTCATCACGCACTAGAGGGTTCGCCCTTGGGGAGTTTTGTATCCAACTCATACAGGATTTCTTCATTCAAGTTGACATGAAACGGTCTTCAGGAAAACGTGGAGTTAACGCACGTGGCGGAACATGCTACAAAGGGAGAGAAAGCGAAGAAGAAGAAGAGAGAGAGAAGGAGACATGCTGATTATGCATATGAATGTGTGCTTGTGGGGAACGCTACACACCGCTAGGTATGCACACTGCCATGTAGTAATGTCTGCGAAAATTTCAAGTGTGCGGGAACTACAGTAGATCCGACGTGTGTCGAAGAGAAATTCGTTACATGGTGCGTCACGCCCAACAGCTTCGCAAGGTCGTCGCGGGTAGACTCGAATCTTCCCCCCGCACGAAATGCTTCGAGACAGCAGCATGGTTCAACATTAAGTGCTGTAATACAGCTGTCATGTGCGGGTCGAACACACCACACCAATCAACCTCACCATGTGACAAAACCACAACTTCTTCTGCCTGCGAGCAGTGGCGAGAGTTCAGCGCTGTTGTGTGAGTTGTGTATGTGCATCCACCCCATATACCCCACGAGCAGTGGCTTCTGGCAGCACGACGACAAGCTGCCACGCGGCGCTGTGTGACTCGAGCTGCTGCTGTAACACTTCACCACTGCGGGGTGCTGAACGCAGAGAGAACTACAACGCACATTGCCATCGCACTGCTGCCAAGTCTTAACCAACGCGGGGGTGTTCGATCAGCCTCTCCTGTTGTTGCGCCTACTACAGGGACGTGACCACGCTCGACAGCAATCATGCTTGCCAAAGCCGCACTCGTAGTTGGAGGGACGGGGCGCGGCATGACTCCATGCCACATCAGGTCAGTCAGTCTCTATAGAAGCTTTCCATTGGGTGATCCGCCGCGGCAACGGGTACGTAGCTGAGTACGTGCTTGCCTTAAACGAGGGACTGAGTAGCCAGGGACCCCCACACCGATGGGGCATACGGGAGCACTAGCGCTAGACACACCGATCGATCTTTTTGTGTCGCGGCTTTGGACAAGAGCGGATAGGTCCGGTCCTATACTACAACAGCCGAGGAAGGAAACCTCTCGCCAACAACGCAGCTCCAGCAAATCCAATCCCCACTATTTCTGAGGCGTTCATCGTGGTCGCAACTCACCTGGACAAGAGCTCCCACGAGATCGGGGTTGGAGAGCTCTGGTGGATAGTCCATCACCCCTGGGATGAGTAGGACTGCTGTTTGTGATCTTTCCGCTGCTCTCTGATGGGGGCAGGGCAGTGCTTCGCGCAGGGGGTACGCAGATGCATCCACAACCCAGAAGCTAGGGCGAGCAGGGGGCACCGCGCAGCTCATCAGTCACTTATTATTTTTATTTTGTTTGCCCTCCGACAATTGACAATTGCAGATAAATGCAGACATAATAAAAAGTCGATCGTAAAGGCACTTATTTTATCCACCTCCATACACGACGTATGGTGGGGTTGGTTGCAATTCTTTGGGACAGCCGATCAGATTCTCATGAGACTCCCGTCAGAGTCTCCCACGATATACCTATTAGATATATTGGGGGTACTCGTAGCATAGTATGACGGTTGAGATGTT